ACTTAAAATCCAAAAGCTGAGGGTTCAGTAGTATAAAAGTATAGCACTATATTAGATTAAGGTATATTTTGCTTAGGTGAAAAATGGATCATCTTGATTATGCTGTGTCTATGGAAATCCTCCAATGTTTATAAAACCTAAGGGAACTAAACATTTAATTAGCCAACTTATCCTTTAAATTTAATTTGGCCCTCCATTATTCATAATGCCTTCCCAGAGTTACTATTTGCTCATTCAAGTTGCAAACCCTGAGTCCAATGGAGATTTAATTCAATACATCAGAAACTTACTCAGAGTTTCTAAAGGTCAAGTCTTATACTAGACCCTGGGGATACAAAAAACAATGTTTTCATCCTTCATGTATAACCAGCATTTATATGCATAATCATCAAAATAAAATTAAGGTAGCCATAATTAACAAGTATAATGGTGGTTTCATCTGGGTGTTGAGATAATGAATGGCTACTAACCTCTTCTTTTCTATTTTTCTGGACTAAACCTAAACCTGAATCTTTTTTACAATGACCATGTGTTACTCTTAACACTATATGGAAAAACAAAAAACAAAACAAAACAAACAAAAAAACCCCTAAGCCTTCTTTTATGGAAGTAGGAAAAAGGAAAATGAAGCGTGAAGACAGATTGTGTATTTTAATGTGGAGCAAATTTACCTTAATAAAACAAGAAAAATAAACTTTTCTCTTCAAAAAGTCCCAATCACTACTGTTATTAGAAACAATTTGACACTCTAAGATCCTGTATGACAGCAAATGAGCAAAGGCATTGTGACATGACCCATCAGTTTAAGTGTTTGAAATCCCTTCTAAGGTAAGTATTCACTAGACCATAAGAGTCTCTTTGGTTTAGCAATACTATTTATAATGTAGATAATTTACTGTTTCTGAAGCTTACTGGGGAATAATAAATGACACTTCTGAAGAAGAAACAAGAAATTTTATTCAAAGAAGTAAATAAAGTATGCCATTGGGACACAGGTAGTTGTTTTTGTTTGTTTTAGTTTGGTAAATGCAAGTGAAAAAAATGAGTTTTGGCAAAGTTCTTGAAATCGTCAGGCTTACATTGGAAATCTGGGCAATATAATAATACTCAAAGAAATAAACAGAAAACCACAAAACAAATATTTATAACCAAATACCTAACCACAGTATTTATCAGTGAAATAAAGTCTGAATTAGTAGCTGCAAACTCATATCAGAAATTGTGAATCCTCCCTCATAAAGCCATATTTAAGGTTATACATATCTGGAAGATTTGTATTTATTACCCATAGATTTCAACCAATCATAGGCAACCATTTAAAAAAATCACTGCAATCTCTTTTTTAGTTAACTAGATCCAGATTGTTCTGAAAATAATTTTCTCCACTCTTTGGTTGATCATAAAAATGCAATGGCAGCTTCAGAGGAAGAGCAAAGAGTAGGACTATGCATTGTCTCTTTTAACCTTCATCCTATCACCCTTTACTTTCCCTGTACTTACACTTTCCATCTGTCAACAAGTGCTTGTAATTTTATTGCACTGTCCTGTAGTTTACGCAGAGTTGGTATTATTTTACAGAGTTCTGTTAATGGACTGGATAAATGGTAATGCTATTTAAACTAGTCTCCAGCTCCAACAAACACAGCTGCAACTGTACTACTATTTCTGAGCAAACATCTTGACCTGAACATGTAGTGCTCTCTCAACCCGTCCAAAGAGAAATTGGAGCAGACAGCAAAGGGAAAGCATATTTGGCCGCTAGCAGCAATCAACCATGTCGAATCATAATTCATATACAGTGTACCCTCTTTTTCTTTCATACTGCATTCAGAGGCTGCAAAAAAACATGTGTGCTTCTTCTCCTGGCATCTCATTTTCAGCCAAGAGTCAAATGGTGATTATTCATTACAAGAGCACAAAGAAAATCTATGTATTGTTCCATATATCAGGATAGCTTTCACATAATCACTGCTAAAATTTTAACTACATATATTTAAAATTACATATTTAAAATTAACTATACATTAGATTGGTAATCTTTTTTGTTGGTAATAGATTAGAAAAAAAATGCATTAAGGTAAAAGGTACAAATAAGTAAGAAAATAAGTAAATTGAGATAGTATATAGCATCTATATTAATTTATAAAGAGAAAACACATTATAAATTTGTTTCTTTTCTAAGTTCTGGATGTGCATGTCTTTACCACATTATACAGTCAGGAACCTATGGCTCTCTTAATATATACAGGCAACAACCAATCAAGAGCTTTCTTTGTCCTAACACCCATGTTATTTTTCAAAATCCTAGATACTTTCTTCTGTCACTTATCTTTCTTGTGCAAGAAATATTACTTTTTAAGTTAACATTTTAAAGGATACTTTCACAAGTAGTTTTGAGCACATTTTGCCACCCTACCAGAACACTTGTTTCAGGTGAGCTATTAAGCACCTGTATCAGAGGAAGAAAATTTGAACTTGCATCCCTGCTCTTTGTAGTATAGTCAGCTTTGCAAACTTTTTGTCGTTTATTTCAAAACTTTTGTTTGTTTATTAAAGGCTCCTAAATGAGCAATCACAGTCATTTTTAAAAAGTGGTCACATGTAGCTGATCAGTTTGCCTCTCAAGAGAAAAAATATCATTGTTAACAATTTATCTAAGTCTAATTCAGTTGAGGTGACCATTCCTCAAATCTAAAAGAAAATTCCTTGCTGGAGAATGCAGATAAAAACTAAGCCTCTATATTTCTATATGCAGCCAGTGTCCATGTCAGCTGTCAAATGCCAGATAAAGAGGGCCACTTTATCTTAAAGTTTGATATTAAACATTAAGACATCAAGGTGTAACTTCAGGGATATTAACATATCCATGTCTCTACTATAACTACTCTCACCTAACAAACACAACTTGGATTCCATTACTCCCCAGGGAACATTCTTTGTGCCAAACAAGCCCACGAAAATTTCTGAATGTATTTCCCAGCTCTCCATTTTCTCATATTTTAATGTGCCTTTAATGAATTAGGAAACTCTGTCATCTTTTTAAGGGTTCTGGTTTTTTAATTCACTTCTCAAATATTCCAAACCATTTTTTTTTCATATAGAAGCTTTGGAAAGTTATAAAAACAAAACCAAACATAAGAGAAAATCTCCTGGTCTACTATGTGACATTGTCAAAGAGGGCAGAAAGTCAGACAGAATATTGTCTGCTGATGGGAAATTCTACAGCAGATTGTGCTACCTGAGAACTCAAAGGGAAATTAACACAAGAATTACTTCTAGAATAAACATCAAACCTTCTTGTTTCTCAGAGATTGGGCTGAGAGTACTTCCTTTACTCTCCCCTTTTCAACTTAATACTTTGAATTTTACATTACAGTTGTTCCATTTAAAGTCATTTGTACAGTACATGGAAAACAACTTTGTAAACTACTGAGTTTTAGTTTTCAAGGTACTTTATTACCAGAGGAATTGCTTAACAGTGCTCTTTGTATGCTAGCTTTGAAGTCCATCAAGACTACCTAATGCAGAAAGAGAAACACTAAGAAAACCAACTCTGGCTATTGTGAGAAAAACCAAACACAAATATTTAAATATAAGTTTCAACTCATATAGATACATATAATTTTTATAGCAGCCCTACATCCTATTTCCTTGGGAAGAATGGCCCCTGGAGAACATTTGTTAAAAAGAGGATTCTTCATTTGATTGCTTTATGTAGACTTAAATTGGACCAATTAAGCAACAGAGAACACAAAGAAGAGGAGAAATACTGCCAGTGAATTTGGCTAGCCTTGGAGAAACAATGTCAAGAAAGTCACACTAGAGAGAAGATGTGATGTGTCTGTGGGAAAGTTTTCCCTAGAGTGAAATAAGGTATTCAGGGACCAAGCTGAGATTCTGGCTTCAATGGGGGTGTGTGTGGGAGGGCTGTCTTCCTATTTTTGAAATGAGTAACAACATTGAACTTTCAGGTTACAAAGCCTTGACTACAAAAGTCAAGCTCCAACAAAGCAACATGTTTATTTTCTGTACAAACACTATCATATGGGACTCCCCACCATCCAGGTGGGGCCACTCTGAACAATTTACTCCATAGATCCCAGCAGTTTTTTTTCACAACATATATGAGCATCAGTAATCACTGCTATTTATTTTTCCAACACTTTGTAGCTTATCCACCATCTGTATAACATCATTCATATGGCTGAAAATCTAATTTTAAAAGCCTTCAAAAATGTGTTTTCACTATTATACATTATTAGGTCAGTGAGCAAGCATTCCAGGGATGAAAAACTGATTCTACCTAATACTCACATTATGATCTTTTAAAGAACTACTTCCCTTTAACAACCTATGATGCATTTGACATAAATACCTTACTTTCCAATCATTGATTCTGCAGAGTTTGGAACTTGGTTTTAAAAGGGAACATTTAAAAGTGAATTTACAACTTTCTTTCAATAGCTGATAATAAAATTTTCAGACTAATAAACACTACTCCTTGGTTACAGAAACAATACCAAAAAAAAAAAAAAAAACTGAGATCAACTTTACAAGAAAACACTGTCAACTTCCTTTTTAGAGGAAACAGAGTAGCAATTTCCCCTTCAGAATTAATTCAAACTTTTCCATTAAGAAATAGGTAAATCTCACCATCATAAAATAACCAAAAAAAAAAAAAAAGAATACCACCATTACAACCACACATAAATAAACCACTGAATGCTAACCAAACAAGCCACTGGAACCACTGGAAAACTAAGCATATATTTCCTTCAAAACATAATAAAGGCAGCACTGGGAATATAGCTCAGTTGGTAGAGTGTTTGTCTTGCATGCACAGGGTCCTGGGTTCAAATCCCAGCACCACCAAAAAGCATAAAAAGGCGAACTTTCACTTCATCAATATATTTGAAAGCAGATTCCAGGAAAGCACAAGGAAACAGATCCAAAACACAAGGTACTACCCAAAGCAACACTAACAGTGTGCATCTACTTACAGCCTGTATAGCTTCGAGGTCCCAAGAAACAGCAACTCAGGAAACAGTTGAAGGTGATTTCTGTTTAAACGCCTTTTGAGAAAACAAAAACAAAGCTTATGTTACATAGAGAATACCCAACAATGAGACTGCGATTTGGTAGTGTCATGCCTCATCCTGAATTTCAAGTAAGAATGGAGTGATATTCAAGAGAATTCAAGCATTGCAAATCAAAAGTTGGTTACACCTTTGGTTACATGACTCTTTAAAGCAATTTTCCATTATGCTCACTCAGATGATGATTGCTGAGCCTAAACTCTAAACTCAAATCTCCTGCAACATCAGTCAACCAGAATATACACAATGGTGAAAGATTTCATGACTCAGGCTCAAGTCTGTAAAGCAACTTCCATATACAACAGAAATTATACAGGAAATGGTAAAATAATTCGTACTCTGTCCTGAATGACCTAAGTTTTCAGTCAAGGCATTGTGGGGAGATGGAGATTTCAATTTTGTACCTCTATTTAGCTAAAAAATAAAAATAAAGGTGTGATGGGCTGGGATTGTGGCTCAGTGGTAGAGTGCTTGCCTAGCATATATGAGGCACTGGGTTTGAGTCTCAGCATGGCATATAAATGAATAAAACACAGGTCCATCAACAACTAAAAAGAATATTAAAAATATATAAATAAAATAAAAGTGTGACAAAATGTTAAGTATGGTTTTTCCTTACAGGCAAAATCAGAAGAAAGCCAACAAAGTTCACACCTCAACCCAAAGCCTCTCAACCCTTCACTGAATTTAATGCTCAGAGTTATAGTGTATGGTGATGTCATAAATTGCTTAAATATCTTTTAAATGTTTAACTGATGTTGGAGTGTTTTAGATGTTTTAGAAAGAATTTGAGTCCAACTCTAACTCAATTTAAATCCTGATGTAATATGACAATTCTTTTGGACTATACACGCCTATGAACAGAGTAGGTGAATTCTACCCCTGATACCCAATTCTTTGAGAGTTAGTTTTAACATTAAATTCAAAATAATAGCTTATTTCTTTTTATAAATCTAAATTTAAAAAAAATCTAAATCTAACATAAAATACACACAATCTGCTTAATTTACAAGAGGATAAGTAGGTCCAGAAACTAACATCACACTGAAGAAACCAGAGGTATTTCTTAAGTCTTCAAAATACATATGGGGACAGAAAAAAGCATATCATTCTTGATGTAGTTAAAGGATCCTCAGGTAGAAGCAGAATTACATTCAGTCTCTAGAGGGCAGAAATGAGACCAGTAATTGTGATTCCTAAGAAAGATAGTAAGGAGTCCTTTCTAAGAATTAGGGATATTAAAAAATGGAAATATCTACCCTGAGATCAACCTTGAGAAACTGTCCACTACTTATCCTAGATATACTCAAGGAGTGTATGTTTTTGTTTTTTCTGCTGAGAACATGATAAAGGGAAATCCTATATTAAGTGAGAAGCTGGACCAAGTGGACTTCAGAATTCCTAATTCAAAGATGTCACAAGGCAATGAATGTGAACACAGCTTTGGTTTCATAACTCATATCACTAAGAAGTTGTTCATTGACAGAAACATTCTCAGCATTTACTAAAATGTACACTAATTTTAAAAAAGGATGCCAAGACAAATGAAGGGCAAAGAGTAAAAGCACAGATGAGAGGATGGGCTCACTTCCCACTTACACTAGTTTTTAGGAATAAAGTACATAACAAGGTAAAATGGAACCCAAAAGCTTTTATTTGCTCTCTGTTGGGCATGATTCTGAGAAAGAAGTACTTCCCGATCCCACCATTATCCATTTTTGATAAAATAAAGCCTAATTTTGATTTGCTAAATTCACCTCCAAAGAAAGTAAATTACAAATATTCACAACAGTGGTAATGAAAATTTTTCTAGAAAAGCAGTCATTCATGGAAGGAGGTATATTGTCCAAAGAGCCAGTTCTGATTCCTAAAATAGCAGAGATGAGATTTCTTAATCATATCCAAACCATGTAATTAACAACTGTCATCCAATTCTTCAGCCATAGTAGCCATGCTCCTTCAAACCAGAGTTCCTGCCGAGGCAGCTCTCTGTGTAGGGGGCTTCCCTTTTCATCAAAAGTTGCTTTACTTACATCCTCTGTGCAACTTTCCAATTCTACATAGATTCAACACCTCCCTTGGCTATGTCCCCAAAACACTTGATAAGTAAAAGTCCCTCCACTAATGATATTTATTCAAGTGTGGTCTCTTCCCACCAGCCTGTGAACTCTTCAAGGGTAAAGACCTTGTCTTTGTATTTCCTCCCGCCTTTTCTGGTACTTAACTGGGTTTTAAAGCAAAACAGAAGGCAAAGAGAGGAGTCTGTTCGCATTTAACATGTCCTTCCCTGGCACTTAGTAGGGTCTTAGATATGTTGATTGACAACAGACTGTCCTCCTCTTTTGATATCGGTCAGCAAGAGCTTGACATAATTTTATACCCGGAGAGCTTTCCTCTGGCATACTTCTTGTGATGCCTCTTCAAGTTTGATGCTACACTCTGGCTAAGGAAAGCCCCACCATCCTACCTGCTTCCACATGTCCCAGGCAATACTAATCTCCTTCCCTTTCCATCAACCTCTTTGCCCACTCTCTTGCTCCCACCTGAAACATTCTCAGCATCACTTAGAGTTGAAAGAAATTTAATGAATTTAAACAAATCCAGAAATGCAAGTGAATGACGGTTGTCTTGTTAGGGGTCTGCATCAATACAACTTCATGTGTTGTGAAAAAGTAGATATTTCAGAGTAGGAACTGCTCTTATTTATCAACTTCATATTCCCAGTGTTTCTTAATTTGCTCCACGAGTAGTAGGTAAGTGCATTAAGCTTACTATGTGATACTCCCTGTTCTGCCAGGTTTACATGAATTATCTCGTTCACTCTTCACAATATCCCCCATGTAGATACAACTTTTAACTGCTGTTTTGGAGGGAGACATGGAGCTCAAAGACTGCTAGAATTTGAATTCAAGTGGCATGACTCCAGAACATATCTTCTGAGTTACAGAAGAACACAGAATAACATTCCTAAACAATAATTCAAAATAATGTATTGCTGAAACTTTACTTTTCACCAATTTTTCCTTCAGAAAAACATAGTTTTGTATAACCAGTTTCTTAAACATCTACAAACTAATCATCTGAAAATAAAACACCAAGTTTTATTTTTTAAAAAATGACTCTATATTCACCTTTTAAATGTCTATTTTAAATACCTACGGTTGAGAGAAAAAGAAAAAAAAATACAGGTGAAACTTTTTTTCTCTGAATTCAAGCATTTTTTCACTCTTTCAGGAAAGCAATTATGAATGATATTTAAATATGTTTAAACCAACTATGAAACATTTCCATTTTAAGCATCAGACAACATAGTATTAGACAAAAAGGGCCAGTATCAGTAAGTGATGCATAATATGCAGATAGAAAACAGGGCACGTTTGCTGGTTTTTAAAATTTTTGTTTTTTGTTTTTTTCTTAAAAAGAGTATGTTCACTTTGGGCTTCCGACTCCTGTTATATTTTCTCTTCCATCAGTACTAAGGTTAATTGGAAACAAAAACAGTAAAAAAAAAAAAAAAAGAAGAAGCTCTTCCAAAAAATATTTAATAAAGAAAATATTTAAGGGGAGGGGAGGGGGGATAGTAGAGGATAGGAAAGGCAGCAGAATACAACAGACACTAGTATGGCAATATGTAAATCAATGGATGTGTAACTGATGTGATTCTGCAATCTGTATACGGGGTAAAAATGGGAGTTCATAACCCACTTGAATCAAAGTGTGAAATATGATATATCAAGAACTATGTAATGTATTATTGTACAAAGACCATAAATTAAATCCTTAATCTAAAGAGCAGTTTTTTAAATAGAGAATTACAATAAAGACTCTTAAGGTGCAAAACAAGTACTTAAAAAGAGCTGAAGAAAAAGTTATCTTCCTTCCAATTCCACATACAAAACAATTGTTAGTGGCTTAAAGAGCAGTGTTATAATAAGAACTATAACAAAAGTGAGCTGCTGATATTAAAATGTGGTAGTTGCAGGACAGGAAAACAGATGTAAGGAACAGATGATACTGAGCAGGACTGTTTATGGGGCCCACATAAACTTGCTCATTGTACAGACTAGGTAAGTCAACTGTGACTACTCAGAGCAAGGACACTTAATGACATTTAATCATGTCTGAGGAGATAGCAGAGGTAAAATGACACCTAGCTCTGCATCATCATCCGTAGGTGGAATCTGCCTCCAAGATTCCAAGACTGTCTGGGAATTTTCTGTATGGCATTCCTGGATTGAGAAAGGTGCGTGATCTTTCTCCCAGACACTTTATTTTAGAGCAAAGATGAGAAGGAGTCCCAATAAGTGCTCATTCTCTGGTACCAGCTAATTTTGAGTTTGACTTTCATTAGAGTGAATGACCTTTCCGTGTCACGCAAAACACCACTGGCCTCTGAAATGCTGATTCTTAACAACCTTAATTCGAAGGGCACCTGAACATTATCGACAAGCTTTGTTCTAAATTATCATGTGCTAGCTGCTCCCGTGTGACTCTTGTCCTTTCATAGACAATATATTCTCTTATTGTATTCAACTTCTATGTCAATTTAATTAATATTGGTAATCTTCCATCCAATTTAAAATGTAAAATAAGAACAGTTTCACCAAAGCCAGTGAAAAATTCATGCTTTTTTTCTTACATGTCATTCTCAATGTAGGGTATTTTTGCAGCACACTTGGTCTGTAATAAACATCTGATAAATTTGCCTTAGAAAGTTTATCATTTCCAACCTCCTGTTTCTCATACATAAATGGCCAGGAATAGAACTAATTAGTTCCCTATTTTGACCTCTTCTTAGACAAAATTTCCAATTATCTTTTCTTAAATGTTTTTATTCTAATATTTTTAGATCAAGTATTTTAACATTTATCATGCATTACAAAAACATGAATTTTCAACAGCATTATCAACTTAGCTTGTATTAAATTAACAGTTCTGTATTTTAAGTAGTGATATCAATGATAATTTCATCCCTT